CGAAGAACAAGGAACTCGACATGGTTACGTGGTCGCGAACATCTTCAAACCCCGACACCCCCCTCCTCGACAGACACGACCCGTTCGGCAGCTCGCATATCCCCTCCCTCGGCCTAAGTATACCCTCTTCCGCTCTACGCCCTCCTCTGAGTGGCCCAAGCACCCCCATGCTGCGCCAACAAAGCCAACCTGCGGTACCGGCGACGCGCGTGCTGTCGTTAGACGAGTACTCCGAACGGATGCGCACCGCGGCGGTCATGCTCGCGCAGCTGAACGCGAGTCTCGTGCGAGAGCCTGTGACCGCCCTCACCGCACCAGGTATGCCCGCGCCCACGCCCGAGTCTTCCATGCTCGGCGCGCCCCTACGCTGGCTCCCCGGCACGAGCTGGTTGACGGGCGCGCCTGCAAACGGCAACGCACCGCCCCCCGGGCCTGGGGCGGCCACGGAGGTGCTGCGGATGAAGCTGCAGGCGTCCGAGGCGGCGGCGATCCGGGACCGCATCATGGAAGAGATGTTGGCGCTGGAGGAGGAGCGGATGGCGCGGATGCGCGAGAACGGCGTGAACGAGGCCTCGGTGCAGATCAGCACCGCGAACGGGGACATGAAGACGGCGGAGGACGAGGGCATCATTCGGCGAGAGCTAAGCAAGGCGGACCCGTCTGCCGTGGTGTTCAGTGAATCGTGGGCTGCGAAGAAGGTTTGTCCTTGTGTGGCGCCTGCCGTTCGAAGGGAAGGGCTGAGCATGTTTGTCAGGCTCGAGTACGACAAGCGTCACCGTACGGCCACCTCGGTAAGCGCCTTTCAGCGAGGTCAGGGAATGTCATAGTCTGACATGTCGTACAGCCAACTGGGACTGCGTGTCTGTTATTGTCAAGACCGGTGGCGATCTGCGGCAAGAGCAGCTTGCGGTACAGTTGATCCAAGAGTTCGAGAAGATCTGGAAAGACGAGAACTGCCAGTGCTGGGTGCGATAGTAAGTCGACCTCTCCTTCGAGGTCGGTGATGCAGTCGCCAACGCCCGCCTCTAGCTTCCGCATACTCATCACGGGCAACTCGTCGGGGCTCGTCGAGACTATCACCGATGCGGTTTCAATACACTCTATCAAGAAAGCCGAGTACGCGCGAAGGCTCGCAGAGGGGCGGTTCGGACATGTCACCCTCCTCGACCACTTCAAGACGGTAAGCCCCTCTAGTCTGCCCTGCACCCGCCAGTCCAGACTGCTCACTCCCAACACAAGACGTACGGCGACCCGTCCTCGGCGAAGTTCGTGCGCGCCCAGCGCAACTTCGCAAAGTCGCTCGCGGGATACTCGCTCGTGACGCACCTGCTGCAGATCAAGGACCGGCACAACGGGAACATCCTGCTCGACCGCGACGGGCACCTCATCCACATCGACTTCGGGTTCATGCTCGCGAACTCGCCCGGGAACATCGGCTTCGAGGCCGCGCCGTTCAAGCTCCCGCTCGAGTACATCGAGGTCCTCGGCGGGCTCGACGCGCCCGCATACCGCGAGTTCCGCAAGCTCTTCCGCGAGGGCTTCGACGCCGCGCGCAAGCACTGCGACCGCATCGTCAGTGAGTGGACTACTCGGGCGTTGTCACTGCGCCAAGTGGGCTGACGGCTGTTATAGCGCTGGTGGAGCTTATGCAGAAGGACTCGGGACTGCCGTGTTTCGTCGCGTTCGGCGAGCAGACGGCGTCGATGTTGCGAGACCGCTTCCAACAGGGACTCACCCAAGCTGCTGTTGAGGAACACGTCCAGCGGCTCATCGACGCGTCGCTTGGATCCAACTGGACAAGGCTATACGACTCCGTAAGCCCCCGCTGTATTATCCGCTGCAGAACAACATTTGCTGACACGTTTTTGCGCACCAATAACAGTTCCAGTATTACTCGCAGTCCATCCTATAGCCCTATAGCACACCGCGGACTTACGAGCCGCTCGTGCCTGCACGATACCTGCCGCATTCTGTACTGCACGCAGGCTTGAAGCAGAGTTTTGCACCTCGAGACAACTCGAGCATGGCTTCGTCGTGTATCACCAACAGACGCCTGACACAAAGGGTACGCGGATATAAATACTGTACGGGAGAGGGGGATATACAAGGACCACAGGCTGGAGGCTCAAGTGAACAGACCGTCGTAGCGCTTGAGGCAACTGTACCATTCGTAATCTGTAGTAATAGCATAATGTCAGCCTCGGACGGAATACACAGGACATGCCAGCCACACTCACCGAAGTTGTCCTTCGGGTCGCACCAGCACTTGCCCTTCTTGTGCGCCTCGCCTTGTGGGCAGTGTTGGAAGGGGTTGTGCCGGTATCCTGCGGATGCCCCGGATCAGCGATCAGTCGGTGACCAGGCAACGACCGGTGGAATGCAGAAGACTACGCACCAATGTCGTTGAAGAAGTGAATCTGGTCCTTCTTGGCGAACAGCGCGGCGCCGATGCTGTGTACTGGCGCGTCGCCCCACCGCTGCGGCATCGAAGTATTAGTACGTCGATCCATTGTGAAAGGAGGTGGGATAGCCGTACCTCGTAGTAGAAACCACCCTTCTGATCGAGGAAATCGAAGAACTTTGTATACGCCTCACCGCGCCAGAAGTCAAGGTCACCAATCTCGAAGTTGCTCCAGACTGCAGGAACAAGAACGTCAGTCATGAAGTCAACCGATGGCTGCAAGCACGTACAGTGGCAGTTGTTGTAGGTCTGGCCTCCATCATCAGAAACGAACCTCAGGGCATTGTCTTTCGGCAGGAGTTCGGGGTTCTTGTCCGTGAATTCTGAAAAGCGGGGTCAGTCGATGCGGACCTCAACTCCAGAACATATATCCTACCTTTGACCGCGTCCCACAGGGTCGGAATAGTAGCCGGGTACTCGTAGAGGGACACGGTGAAGCCTAGATCGAGATGAGCAGCGCGTAAGTAGTCAGAAATTTCGGCACTGACCGTAAACCTTCTTCTCGTCCTGCATGAAGAGCAGGGGCTACAGAAGGTATAACGTCAACTCGTGGCGGGACAGGCCAAAGAAGAGAAGCATACATCGTAGTGAATATCACAGAAGAAGTTCACATCAGGCCTATTCTCGGATCAGTGTTGTTCGGTGAAATATAGACAATTCACACTCACTCAACACGCCAATAGTACTTGTACTTGGCGAGCAACTCATGTCTGTAGAAGAACTGTGCGCTCTTCAGCATTCAAGCAGGGGGTCTGAGACACGCGTAACTCACGCCAGAGTTGAACCGACACATGTTGCGGTAGGGAACGCTTCCACCGTAGATGACGTTCTTTTCCATCATGTCCTTGCGCGCAGCGGTGGCACGGGTCTCGTCTATCCATTCTGGCTGAACCCACTCCTCCCTCGGGATGAGGCCAAATTCGATCTTGGAGTCGGTCATGGTTTGCACGCGACTGTACAAATTCATTAGGGATGGCAACAACCAAGGCGGTGAAATACGCACTCTTTGAACTCATCTGAGAAGGGCTCCTCGTTCAGAAACACGTAGGGGTACTGGAATTCCTTGTTGAAGCGATCCTCTAGTAGTCGCATGAGGCGCGACCCGTCAACACGCTACTAAAGCGTACTCACCGACTTGCTTCATGCTCACGGCCACACCGCTGAGATCACTGTTACGAGCCAAGAAGACGAAGGTGGCATTCGCCCGTCTGCCTTTTGGCGACGGGTTCGGCGCGGCGTAGTAGTCCTCGGGAACGCCATCCTGGTATGGCGGATGAGTCTTGGCACCGCCAAAGTGTTCTGACAGGTTGGTGAGAGATGTCGCGCGGCCATACTCCTCGTGAGAGAAGCTGAGCAAGAAGTGCAAGCTGATCTACGTGGCCAGAGTCAGCATAGCAGGAGGCAGCGAACTACCGTGCAGAGCTTACAATGATGCCCAGCACCAATACCACATAACGCATGGGCGTCATCATGTTGGGCGACGGTGTCGAGCCTACGAGAGGCCGGGTGCGTTAAGGAAGGACGGTGCTGGGAAGAGCGAGTGGAGGGAGAGGGATGAGCTGGGATGAGAGACGAGAAGCGGAAGGCGATGTCCGGACGCGGCGCCGCAGCTCCAGCCTCCAAGCACCGGCGTCTCCGGCGATCTGTACAACTCAAGCTCATCCGCATCTCCGAGTTCTCTCCATCATCCTTGGCTCCCCGCCGTTCGGCCATAGCGGCTCAGGCGGAAGTTCAGGGGACCGCATGTCTACTTCCGCTCAGACCGTCTGCGCCAGCAGAGTGGGCAAGGCCTTGCAAGGCCTGTGCAACGCTCCATTCAGGTCATCCCAGGCTTGTTTTCAACGCTATTTGCGAATCACAGCACTTGGCCACGTTTTCAAGGAGTTGTCTCTCGTGCGGATAGTATGCTCACGATAGCCAGGGAAAGAGAAGACTGATACCGCCTTTCATCGTCTGTTTAGTACTCCGTGAAGCCTACCGGCATTCTCACCATGCTACGGACCGTACCATAACACTTCGCACACCAGCACACCGTACTCGCGACGTCACTATCATATACACAGGCCAGAACATTAATGTGCGAGAGAATGAGGAAATTGAGGTTTATACGAGCTCCATCTCCACAGACGGCGATGTGTCGAAACGCAGCGCATCCGCAGAGTGTTGTAGTCTAAAAAATCCAATCCTGCGATACACATTCCTACTCGCCATCTCACGAATATTCGACGGTGCGACAGGTATCACAACAAGGCCCAGCATCGACCAGTACAACTTATTTTGCAAGAGCGGAACGAGCCACACTGTCTGGAGGATCCACGACATCTGGCGCTTTCAGGCTTGGCCAACTTGTAGTGGCTGCTGCTGCTGGCAGTGCTCCTCCGGATTTTATCGCGACTGTCTTCCACTTCTATGTGAACGAAAGCCTGTTTTTAGGATTTGGAAAAGACTACGAGCTAACTACATGTTTCGCTCACAAACGTTGCGCTGACTCATAAGCGTTTACAAGTCTGGTTCGATGGGTTTTAAAGGAGCCAAAAAGTGGTTCGATTCGGGCTCGAACCGGAGACCTCCTGTGCGCACGTGACTGAGCATTACGCCACCAATATGTGAGACAGACGTGATAACCAACTACACCATCGAACCATGCTACTGCAATGGCTATTAATAGAGACTATTACAACATGGAAACACGGGATTCTTACCTAAACCTCCACAGTCAATCTACTAGGCTCGTAAACCATCCGTCCGGACATTGGAACTCCGGTGGGTGAGGTTGTCCGAACGGCTG